CTATTAAAATGATTAAGGATGGAACGAACATGCTATTTAGTCTCTATTTCTTGGAATCGATGCAGACTATTGTTATTTTGCATAAAAATCCGCGGTCTACTTATGAGATTGGGCAGAGTTTCAATTGGTCGTGAAAATTCCTCCATCGCGTGAGACACGCGATAATGTGTTGAATATTTAATGCACGCACGTTAAAATACAATGACACTTTTAAAAGTAGACCAGACGTCTTGAAATTTTGTGAGACGTTAGCAGATCGGTTTACAATGTGTAAAAGACTTTTTGCAAAAATTGCAATTGGTTCGAATAACAAAATAAAACGGAAGAATTACTACTCCCAACTTTCTTATCCGAGTTCATACTATATGTATAATCCATAGAAAAATGTCTTTATCGAATTTGGTAATAGTGACAGTAATAGTAATATGTTAGCAATAATAATATAAGTAATTTCCAATAATAGTACTATAACCAATTGTTCACATATTCTTGTACAAGTAAGGACGCGAAAATATTTTAAAAAAAGCTAATAATGGAGACGATTAAAGCGTCGACGAACGATTCGGGCAAAGGTTGAATTTTTTCTGGGGACGATGCGATCTCAAAGCCGTGGGCGAGTGTTTGCGCTGTGTTCGCCCGCAATTTAAATTGCGCCCCGTGCAGAAGAAACGAAGCGGATTTCGAGAGAATTCGCGCGGAAGCGGAAGGGACGAGCAGCCGACCTCCCGTGCTTAAACATCACGGTAAACAGGGGCCGCTGTAATTCGGATGCTGGCGCAGGTGCTACGCGGAAACATCTATCAAGATAGCGAGATACCAGCAAGGGGAACGTTCCGTCCTCTGCAAAGAGAGAACGGGATGGGGCAGGAGCGGAACGGTGGATCAACTCGAAGAAACGGGGGATTTCACGGGACAGGAGGCACTAAGCTTCCACGACGGCGTTCTCTTCGTCTTAACCCTTTCCATCTGCCATCGGATCGGGCAGAATTAACTTTTCTCTACGACGCGCGAGTCTTCGAGGAGCTCGTCGTCGGATGTTTTCCGACGGTTCCGAGGATCGATCCACGCCGGTGGACTCGTTTCGGACTGTTCGGCCTGTCCGGGACATCTAATTTTCCCAGGTAGTCGGATTAAGGTCGTGATTCTACTAGAAATATCCCCTCCGCATTCGACATTCAAACGCTTTCTACGAGGAAAAATTGCTTCATCGACTTAGTCTCGTGCTCGCGCATCGGTCGTACCACGATTCCATTCGAAGAAGAAGTAGAAGATGATTTTCTGTCGAAACTTCCGGAAAGTGGAACGCTACCAGAACTGCTGCTTCGGTTAGCCTGAAGTGGCGCGCAGCCTTCGGATTTTACACATTTATAACCGACTGTTTGAACGTCGATACGGTATAACGTTTCACAAGATTTACTACGACTATCATTTAACTCGGAACTAGATAGAGCACTCAACGCACAGGATAAACTGATTTCTGGCTGCAGCCTCTGCGCATTTGTCGCTGGCTATCTATTACCGAAAGACAGGGTTAATCATTTCTGGAGTGCATCTCCGCTCGTGCGCCGACCAACCAGAACACTTTCACAGCCATCGATCCGCGTAACGACTAACCAGAAGCATTTACAACTCATCGGGCGAAAAAAGGAGCCGTTCGGCAAGCAGGCCGCTATAATTCACGAAACACTTTTCCCCCGTGTACACCCGTGAACCATAAACATAGTTACGAGCACCGGAGGTTACGTATATCAAACGCCGCTCCATCGTGCCCACTCGAAACGTTCCGGAGCGCAATGGACGCGCGGTATCGCGCTTATCAGCCGCACCTGCAGCCGCGTTCTAAGCGGATGCAACCACCTACGAGCCTTCGGTTAACCTGTTCGCCTGCGATCGGGACCAGTTCGCTCTCGGCGGTCGAAGAAAAGAAACGGCCGGAGGAAAAAAAGGCGAAAAACACAGGGAATGGTATCGCGCGCGTCGCTCGCTATCGCGTTTATGGCGAGCGGAACCGAAAATCTCGGCGGAGTACACGCGCTCGTGAGTGCGTTTATCGGTAGCGTCAAAATTCCACGGAATTTACGGTGTTCCCGTTCCCGATACAGTCGAACGTCGCGTCGTCCCGAAGCGGTGGCCAGGATTTGCGGTTCTGGAAATCGGTCGAACACAAAGCCCCACGTGATTCTCTCTTCTCTCTCTCTCTCTCTCTCTCTCTCTCTCTCTCTCTTTCTCCGTTTCCCTCCGTCCCGCGACGGCCCAGATACGAAAATCGTAAAGTCGCTACATAATAGCGGCTAGTATAATCCGGTACGGCACTTCGCACCGAGATTAAAGGTACGTAAAGCGGGCTGGTGTAAACGTTTTACAAGCTGCTCGCCTACCTGGTTGCCAGACGCGAAGGAGATATTATTTTAAACGTCTCGCGCGCGCGCGTTACGTCGCTGCCAGCAGCGGTTCGACAGCGTTACGATTTTATTCCGTCGCCTCGCGCGAGTTACGGCACGCGCGTGTGGCCGATGCGTCGCCGATTCCATTCCATTTTTTTCCAAGGACAGCCTCTGAAATGATTTTCTCAGCTCGACGAAATGGCGAATCGAAAATTAGCACCGGACATACCGTGTCTATAAACATTTATTTATTTACTTGTCCGTTTCAATATTTTCGGGAGTCGAATCCTTTGCGTTGCGAAATTAGAACTCGAATCGAACGAAAGAAGAAAACACGGTTTCGTGTATTTGATTTTAAATTTGACGAAATTTCACAATTCGAGCACGATTCGTAATAACAATAGCGAAAAATCGAAATAACGGATGCTAGTTAAATTGAATGCTCGGCACACGTCTAGTGTTACACTTCGAAATGCTTGTACCGCGGATTCGTTAAAATTTTTGTAGAAAATTGCAAGATCGCCGAGTAGCATTCTGTTAATTTTACAAAAGCTTCGTCCGCAGTCTATCGACAGTTGTCGAATGTACCGGTTTTTCTCATTGCCGCGACATTCCTAGTGCGAACAGCAAAAAACACTGGTAGCAAGCCACGGTTCATTTTAATGGATAAATGGTCGACAGAGGCTGTTAAGGTTTACGGCAGAGAAAGTTCGAACGAGACAGCGGATTCGACAGCGTCACGTGGGAAACGCGGGTCGAATGGAACGCTGAAATTAGGGAATGCCTGTGGGTGGTTGGGAATGATTGCCAAACGGCCGTAACAATCGGAACGACGGCTCGTAAACATCGATGTTGCTTGTTCACAATGTAACCGACCGTATCTATGTAGGTCTACGTCGGACGCGGCGAATTCGTAACGCAACAGTTCCTGGAAAAATAATGAAACTCGTTGGGCCGGAGGCTCGAGCACCGCCGTTAATAAGGATTTTACTCCGGCATAAAAGAAAGGACGTTCCGCGGCTTATGAACCGTAACTTCACGGTGTTTACGACAGGTCGCGGGATTCCTTGGGCGAAAGTGAAAGCCGGAAAAAATTCAATCCCACAGGTGGACGCGGAAGTGGGCGGACGTGGCGCAATTTCGGGGAAATGGGCGGAACGCCGACAGACTTTTTCGCTCGGCTCTCTCGGAACGAGGCTCCGGTGTCTCCGAGAAATTAATGGACGCTTCTAGCACAGGATACCGTCGAGCTCGCGGCAAAAAGCGTCACGGATGCGGCGACTCCTCGATTGCATAATCTCTCGAATAATTTCCTTTCATCTCGCTGCATAACAGTCGTATCATATATCGGAACTGCGGCAGAGAAGAATTCGAAAATGCTCGATCGGCTGCACCGGACAAACGAACGAGGCAAATCCTGAATGCGGGCGACTGTTACGCGCGAACCAACGCGTTCCCGGTCGCTCCGAATACATAAATTCTCCTCCTCTCGACAGAAATCCGTTTCCCCGGGAATGCGTCGCGAAAACCCATTGAAACGACAATTTTATCTTCGACAGGGGGCACGCCAGGAATGTCGCAAGGCCCGAGAATGCCGGGACAAGAGGCAGAAGGGGCCGCGGGAATTTCGAAATCTAGCGCGCGTTCCCCGCGGCGACCGTTCCCCGTTGTTCCTCGTATTTCGCGTGATTGGCGCGCTGAAATAATCAGCTTGTCGCGGGCCCGCCGGCACGGTTCGTTTCGTTTGACGGACGAGAGTAATTTCAGCGTGTCCGGAATCCGCGCGTATCACGCGCTCGCCGTATCCGGCCGAGCCAGAGAAAGACCGTTCCAGGCGGGCACGCAGCCCGCGAGGAGACGGCGCGGAGAACCTGTCGCCAGGTGAACGTCGAACGTTGAACAGGCTCTCGTCGATCCTGACGCGACTATGACGTCGAATTTCCTGTCACCGCGTAATCACCGGTCGAGAATAATTATCCTGGCGCGGGCAAGAAACGAATAGGTTCTCCGAACTTTCGTACACGCGGCAAATAAGATACTTATAATCAACGCGGGGATAATTGCCAAGGCTGCGGCCGACCCTCGTGCGCTGTTCGAGTTCGCTACGCTCGAAATATTGCGCTACCAACGGTTTTGCATCGTTACAAAAATTTCTAAAAATTTACTTGCGTAGATTGCACGTGTTGCGGTACACGCGCGGAGCGGAACATTTCCCCGGGTAATATTTTTAGATGTTAATTTTCTTGCCGGTCGCGCGCGGAAACATGACAGCGAGTTTGAAGATCGTTTGAAAATTACTATACATCGATCGAACGTTCGGATCAATGTACGAGGATAATTTTGACTTTAAACGGTGCACGAGGGTTAACGAACAATCCGGTTACAAGTTGCATGCAAGCGACGTCGATGAAACTCGATTGTAACGCATGAAATACTTTATCGTCTTCCCGATTCGTTGATGGACCGTTTGTTGCGATTTATAGCAGATGTCTATAGAATTCTGGTATAACCAAGTGTCTTGTCGAGAATTTACTAAAATCAGGATACAATCGGCGACTACACCAGCGGTATTTCGTATGTCACGAGTCTACGATAAGTTTGTCAAAAGGTACTCACCAGTTGTTAACTTGAAGGATCGTCAACCCCGTGTCCTGAGCCAGCTGCTTCTTCTGGTCTTCCGAAGGGTACGGATGCTGCAACACAGGAACGAAACAGATTTTTGAAATTAACGTTACAGCGTCGAGCACGAGCTGATTTCCCAATAATTGTTTAGGTTTGCCCCGCGTGCCGAGCCTTCGAAAACTGTTGTTGCCCCGGCGTATTATCAACAGCGGGACAGCTTTCATCGGCGCAACCTGCGAGAGAAATCGCGACTCGCGGGCTTAAAATGAACGCGTCGTTTCTCTTGACGCGAGAATGCTTGATCCCGGTTGTCGCAGCTAGATCTTTCCCGTCGCGTTCCATGGATCGCGCGAATAGTCGCGGCGCGAGCAATTTTTGCATTATTTACGGCGGCGTTCGACGAGGAAAAGCCCCGGCGCGTTTCACGTTTCGCCGGGCGGTCCGTGCTTTTAAACAATTTATCGGGTGATTTATCGCGTAACAGGTAAGTGCACAGTGCGCATAGATGCACGGGAACTTTTATCTACGCGACGGCAGGCGCATTACAGGCGTCGAGCCGCGCCGCGCCACGCCACGCCGCGCCGCGCCGCGCCGCGCCGCGCGCCTGCTCGTCTCGGCGCACCTGTGAAATATTATTTATTGCCGGGCAACAGCAACAATAAAAAGAAGGACGGCCGGGAAAAAAGCGGCGGACAGTTTGGACAGTGCGAGCGGGAGGAGAGAGGAGAGAGAGGACGGAGAGGAGGGTGGCGAGCGGGGGCGAGGCCGCGGTAAAAAGCGTTCCTATATGGCGGAGACGAGTGCGTTTTATCGGGCTGTCGCATCGGCGCAGATGCGCTTCTGCGGAGACGACGATCCGTCCTCGACGCTCGTATTGGCTTTCACGAAAGACAGACTTTACGAGGGGCCACCGAAGATATACGGGAGAAAGGTCAGCCGCGGACAGCGGCGAAGAAACGAGCCTCGAATCGCCGGTTTACAAGATAATCTCTGCGCCCCGCGGATCATCGAAAGAAATCGGCTGGTGCGTTGCGAAATGGCGGCCGACGCCGACACCGACGCCGCCGCGACGTCCACGGGATTTAGAACCTGCGAGAAGGCTCGCAACATTGTTCGCTATCCATCATTGGTGTCTACAAGTTGTTCTCCCGCCGGCCTTTATCCCCTCGCCTCGTGAACGTACACGATCCTTGGAACGCCTTGCAGCACCCACTTTGTACCGGAAATGTTCCCTCGACGCAACACACGGTAGTTCAGAGTATTAGAATCTTTTAGTAACTGGAAACTGGCGAGAGCTTCTCATCGTTTCAGTAGAATCGATAATGCTATTCGATTTACATTCGTTCCAATATTCATTCGGATTGCGAATGTTTCAGCACTTTTTCAGTCTTCGCGAATTATTTTTCACCGAAATCGGAATGTCAAATGAAGAAAACTTCATTTTGTTAACTGGAAGGCTGCTTCTGGCCAGAGTTGGACAGAACTTTATTCGGATGACATCTGGCGAATACAATTTTTTTTCAACGCTATCGAATGAATGTTTTATTCGAATAAGAATTTATGGTGATTTATTTCAAATGTTGCATCGGAAATTTCGTCACTTTCGCATCGCTCGTTAATGCATAACCATCATTGGATCATAACTCAGAATCATTGATCCTATGAGTGCAGAAAAAGCTATCGACAATTTTATAATTTTACAAATAATTGAAATTGAACTCCGAATGAGACACGAACAAATAGAGAGAATAATTGATGACGAATAACGAAAAATCATGTGATCGCTGTGAACGGAGCGTATTATCGAGTAGTTGGCATTGAAGTACGGAATATATTTTTGGTTCCAAGTTTTCCGTAGTCCAAATATATTCAGATTTTTGTGATCTTGAGCACGTTACTGTTTCTCTTGCATGGCAAACGCTTTCAGTATCGGTATTTTCACTATCACCCGTGAAAGATATTCTCCTAAATTTTCTTTTCCCCATGATTTGATAATGGGTGTAAAAAAATTAAATACTTAAAAACTCAACGTATTATCGCAAAGGCAGAAATTGAGTATTTACCCGTGAATTATTGAAATGAAGCCAACAAAATTATTTTAGAATTATAAATTCGTGTAAACCTTTTAATCGCTACTAAATTGCTGGTATATATCCGTCGCTGGCAATGTTCTAAAGAGGACTGAAACTGTGTATCGTTAGAATAAAACACAATATCGTCTTGTCGATAGTGTTATATTTCATGATAGTCAATTGTTTAAGGCATGCAGCGTTGTCAGATACTCGATTAACAAAAGTATCTCGTGTAAAGTATGAAATAAAAGTATATATATGGTATGAACATATATATATACGCTCTTCGTACCCACGCGCCCACTTTTCATATATACGCCCATCGGAGCGAAAGGGTTAAAGAAAAGAATTTATTCGGATAATTATCTTCGACGAACATTTTTGCATATTTCAAGTTTACACAATCTGTGGAAGCATAAAGATCCATTGTCTACTCTTCAGGCAACGTGTCTGTTCATGGTCTACACATTCTACTTCACACGACACACTCGAGCTCCAACGAATTTTGAACCCTGCAGTATAATCTTTCTATCTGCAGAATAATCTTTTCCTCGGTAGATCTTGGAATCTTCCATTGCGAATTGATTTCTAACGATAAAAGCGAACACGAAACGCTTCCGCGCGTCTTAAATCCTCTTTGTTCGTCCTCGGCGAGATTGTCTTCCGTCGGATATTAAATCATCCGGCGGTATCGAAGAAATCTATTTACTCCGCGCGAGAGAACTGGCCGGAACACGAAGATTGAGAGTCTATTTCAGGCTTTCATGAGAACCCGATCGCGATTAGTCGCGACGCAACAAGTAGATTAACGTCAGCCGGGAGCAAAGAAGTTTCGTACGCGTGTTTTCACTCTCGCGCGGGTTTGCACGCGTGTCGTTCGTCTTCCCGTAGCTTGGCACCCATCGGCGCGGGGGAGAGAAAGAGCGAGAGCGCGCGCACGAGAGAGAGAGAGAGAGAGAGTGAGAAAGCGAGAAAGCGAGAGGAGAGAGGCGGGGCCCCGAAGGATCCCGGTCTCGCCGCGAGTGCGAAATTAATGCGAGCCGTAACTTCCCTGGAAGAACGATGAGATTTATACACGAATTTATGGACTCGCCCGGCAAGACCGATGGAATAACCGAGGAGTGCATCATTTATGCATCTAGCTCCAGTTTCGAGGCCGCGAAGCCTTTGAGCCGTTGCCAATGGCCGGCGACGTCGACGTTGCAGTGGACGTCGCTTTTCCTGCGATACAGTGACCCAGCAGGAATTTTTCGGCCGCTAATTAAGAAAGTTTAGAGAAATCCGCCGGAGCGTAACGGCGAGACACAATCCTTCGCTGGATTGCGAATGACAAACGACGTGTTCCGCGGAACGTTGGTAAAAAGCGGCGCACGCGATCCACGGATAATCTCGTTAATTACATTACGAGCTGCGCGAAACGCCGACCCCACGGGAACGATGCGACGCGCATCTTAATTTTCATCTCCTATTAGCCAGCGCCGCGATATTAGAGTCACGTAATCGTCGCCAGGCGAGGACAAATCGCGGACGCCGTTATCTATCGCTGAGGGATGCATAAAACAAGAACGCGGCTCGGCAAATGTTAGGTTGCTGCACGTGAGACCGCCGATCCCGTTGATAGGCGTAGTTGACTACTCTTTTATACATGAGAGCTGCCGCAGATAAATTATGGCCGACTGTCTGCTTTGTAAATCATAATTTNTAAAAAAATTAAATACTTAAAAACTCAACGTATTATCGCAAAGGCAGAAATTGAGTATTTACCCGTGAATTATTGAAATGAAGCCAACAAAATTATTTTAGAATTATAAATTCGTGTAAACCTTTTAATCGCTACTAAATTGCTGGTATATATCCGTCGCTGGCAATGTTCTAAAGAGGACTGAAACTGTGTATCGTTAGAATAAAACACAATATCGTCTTGTCGATAGTGTTATATTTCATGATAGTCAATTGTTTAAGGCATGCAGCGTTGTCAGATACTCGATTAACAAAAGTATCTCGTGTAAAGTATGAAATAAAAGTATATATATGGTATGAACATATATATATACGCTCTTCGTACCCACGCGCCCACTTTTCATATATACGCCCATCGGAGCGAAAGGGTTAAAGAAAAGAATTTATTCGGATAATTATCTTCGACGAACATTTTTGCATATTTCAAGTTTACACAATCTGTGGAAGCATAAAGATCCATTGTCTACTCTTCAGGCAACGTGTCTGTTCATGGTCTACACATTCTACTTCACACGACACACTCGAGCTCCAACGAATTTTGAACCCTGCAGTATAATCTTTCTATCTGCAGAATAATCTTTTCCTCGGTAGATCTTGGAATCTTCCATTGCGAATTGATTTCTAACGATAAAAGCGAACACGAAACGCTTCCGCGCGTCTTAAATCCTCTTTGTTCGTCCTCGGCGAGATTGTCTTCCGTCGGATATTAAATCATCCGGCGGTATCGAAGAAATCTATTTACTCCGCGCGAGAGAACTGGCCGGAACACGAAGATTGAGAGTCTATTTCAGGCTTTCATGAGAACCCGATCGCGATTAGTCGCGACGCAACAAGTAGATTAACGTCAGCCGGGAGCAAAGAAGTTTCGTACGCGTGTTTTCACTCTCGCGCGGGTTTGCACGCGTGTCGTTCGTCTTCCCGTAGCTTGGCACCCATCGGCGCGGGGGAGAGAAAGAGCGAGAGCGCGCGCACGAGAGAGAGAGAGAGAGAGAGTGAGAAAGCGAGAAAGCGAGAGGAGAGAGGCGGGGCCCCGAAGGATCCCGGTCTCGCCGCGAGTGCGAAATTAATGCGAGCCGTAACTTCCCTGGAAGAACGATGAGATTTATACACGAATTTATGGACTCGCCCGGCAAGACCGATGGAATAACCGAGGAGTGCATCATTTATGCATCTAGCTCCAGTTTCGAGGCCGCGAAGCCTTTGAGCCGTTGCCAATGGCCGGCGACGTCGACGTTGCAGTGGACGTCGCTTTTCCTGCG